GTAAACGCTAGCAGTTCTGCCTCTGTTGATGAGGCCGTGACTGTGGTTTGCTTTCCTGCCAAGTGCGAGTTGTTCGACAAAATGTTTGAACTTCTGGCCTGGTAAGATCTTCGTGAGACCGTCCGCGACCATTTCAGTGGTTGGCGTGTATGAGATTTGGAATTCTCCTTGCTGATAGGCCTGTCTTGCCCAGCAGTTATGAACATCTACGTGCTTGAGCTGTGTCTTCAAGCGTGGGAGATCAGCTTCGATCAATCTAATTGTTTGTTTGTTATCGCATTCGATAAGGAGTGGATGGTCTAGTTGAAGATCAATGTGTTGAAATAGACGTTGTGTGGCAATTGCCTCCTTGGCCGTGTGAGTAAACGCTAGCAGTTCTGCCTCAGTTGATGAGGTCGTGACTGTGGTTTGCTTTCCCGTTTTCGATGGACAAGGTCTGGTTTTGCCTGGTCCTTTCGAAGTTGCAAGTCGTTTGTGGGGAACAGATTTCCTTTGAATTGATCACGCTTAGTGATCCCATATTGGTTTACGATCTTTTCGATGTATGAGTCTTGGCAGAGCCATAGCTTGCGAGCTGCTCTGTCTCTCAGGACACGAATGCCTAGGAACCACTTGAGTTCCCCTAGGTCCTTCATTTCATATTGGGTCTTCAGTTTGACGATGAATTCGTCTGCGGCGTCTTGGTGTCTTGCACGGTACAGCAGGACGATGTCGTCAACAAAGAAGAAAACTGTGAGCCAGCTGTTTGTGAAGAGGCATGGCTCCTCTTGGCTCTGTTTGAGGCCAAGTTTCGCGAAGGCTGCGGTCAGGTTTTTCTGCCATAGCAGAGGCGACCGTCTAAGTCCGTATAATGCTCGTAGCAGTTTCAGGACCCATCCTCTGCGGCGATAGCCGTCTGGGAATTGAACAAATACGTCTTCGTCAAGTACGCTGTTTGTGAACGCGTTGACCGCATCGAGCTGTCTCGTCTCGAGGTCAAATTTGGCGGTGATTGCCATTAGGATTCGAAAAGAACGTCCTGCGAGGGTGGCGGCGTAGGTATCC